TCTGTCTGACAATGAAAATCCGTTGTATTGTAAAATTCGTTATATCAAAATTCGTTGTAGAAAGAGTTGACTGTAATTATTCATACATATTCTTTATAAATGTAATGTTTTATTTATATTTCTTTTATTTTTATTGCCTTAAGTTAGTTATATTCTTATAATAAGCTATAATTACATTTATCTAATAAAAAGGTCTTATAATTAAAACAAAATTAAATCAGACCTTATTATTTGCATATTAAAAAAGTAATCTTTATTAAATAAATGCAAAAAAACTAATTTATATAAAGAAAATTCATAAAAATTTTAAATAAATTATGAACTACAAATTGATTTTTAAGCATATTTATGTATTATAATCTTTTTTGTTGTAAATTCCATATCATTTTGATTTACTTTTACTACCTTCAGCTTTTACATCTACATATAACTCATAATCTACTAAATAAAAAAGTTGCTAATTAATATAATATCGATATCATAAGTGATATAAAAACCTATATATACCTGTATTTGAATTATCTTGTAAGACTTTTTGCCACTTTCTATTTAATAATAATTCTTCACGATCTTTATCAATTATATTATTTTCTTTATCATTTTAATTAGTTCTTATTTATCTTTTTATACCCTTATGATTAGCATATACAGTATATTACTTGAATTTTTAGGCTTTCAGCCTTTTGTTCTAATATTAATTAGGTTGTTAATAGTATAGGCAAATTCAGTAATATTATTGTCTTATACAGTTTGTGTGATTTCAAATTTTATCTCCTTGGCAAGTCTTTCATATATTTCATAAAGTTCTTCTATCCTTCCTGTTTTAATTACTAAATTAAGTATTTTTCATTAATCTAAATCCTTTTCTCCACTGTTATTTTCATGTCATTTCATGATAAACTTCTTTAGTAAAATATGACACCTATGAATACTCTTTAAATAAGAAAGATTTAATTCTACTATGTGTTCTATTATACCAAACTCATTATCAGAAATTATTGAAATTGCTGATATACTTGAAAGTATTATATTTACTCCTATAACTGATGCATCAGTATACTAACATCATAGTATAAGTCTAATATAAAACTTGGCAATTGAAGATACAAGAATTGTTGCAAAAAAATAGTGGCATACAAGACCATGATTAATTAATATCAAGCATATACATAAAATGCATAGTATCATCATATAATATAATAAAATGCTTGCTTTTTTTATCAATAAAAGAAATATGCCAAATTTCATTAATTCTTGTTAAATCTAAATCCGCAATTAATTCTGCAAGTTCTATAATACAAGTATCAAACATTTCTTTAAAAAATATGCCTTTTGATAATTCTATAGTATTCTATAAAGAAAAAAGATTAATTATCTCTAATAGTAATTATATGATAATAAATTTGATTTATATCTGTTATTCAAGTTTATAGTCCAAATTAGTTTTATAATATCAGTAGTACATACTGCGATTCATTTCATGTTGTTAGAGTTTAAGAATTGTCAGTATTAAAAAAATGTTGACATAATTTATTAATATTTTTAAAATAATGATTATGATAATCTTCTTCTTTACTTATAAAAAGCTTACTAATAGTTTTATTTAATTTTAGATATTTACTTTTTTTGCTAATAATTTTTCAACTGCACATTCAAGTTCTATAAGAGATGATGATCTATTAATATTATTTTTAATAATACTATTGTATGACTCTATGTGCTGTATACTTTGAATTCTAGCATTAAATGCACGATATGTAAAGCACAATACCCAAGCCTTTCTGCATAGATAAAGCTGACATTGCAGGTAATTTATGATATTAGTATATTCCTGTAATAATACAGCCTACCTCTCTTTAAAAATTAATTTGACCTAACTATTATACATATAACAAAAAGAAGAAAAGAACTTTTTCCATTTTTCACTATGATATTTACTAAGAAAATGCTTTTTCAAGTTTTTTCTAATATGGAATAAACAAAAATGATGCTTTATTATAGGCTAAGTATTGTTTACTGCTGCAATGATTGTAGGATTAGCATCTGTATAAAATAAAGTTAGTGTTAATCCTTCTGTTGCTTTGAAAAGACTTGACTTGTAAATAACCATGTAAAAATATCTTTTGTTTCATTTGAACTATTGCAGTTGCTATAAGATGAGAATGATTATGATTAACTAATATTATAATACATAAAATCATTGAATATTAGTTTATTTTTGCTGTTGTATCAAGTAAAATTATATTATAAAATAAACCTACAATTTCTGTTAACTTAGATGCATCCAACAAAGTCTAACAAGATGATTATCTTGACCTTCAAATCATGCATCAATATAAAATATTAGATTTTTTAGCTGCTGATTCATAAATGCAAGATAAATTGAATCAGCATCACTTATAGCTTAATTTTGATGTCGAATTGTTTGAATTAAATTGTAAATATTGTGGGAATGAATATATTTTTCTGGATATTTATGTTATAAGACTTCAATAATTGCACTAGCTACTTTTTAAAAAATATATACTGTAACAGGATTGGATTGATGAACGTGACGCAGTATATTGCAGATCTAAATGTTAGACATATTGGACATATTTGATATATTTGATATATTTGATATACTAGACATATTTGATATAATTGATATCTTGGACATATCGAACATATTAAATATATTTGATTTATTTGTTATATCTATCTATGTATTAATTTAATATAAATAGGAAGCAATAGAATCATGTAAACAG